ATCTGGAGGAGACAATGGAACAGGGGTGGGAGAGCTCGCAGGAGCCGCTGAAGAAAGAAATGAAGGCAAAATAAAAAAACAAGGAAGAAAGACCGTGGAGGCACACGGACACCGAGCGAGAACATGGAAGTGCCAACCTTGAGGTGTCAGTACAAGGGCTGAAGCAGGTTAGAGGGGGCCAGAAAAACAGCGTGCATGAGAGAACAGGTGATCAGTGGCGCAGGGGGAATGCCAGGAGCAGGGCTAGCTCTGATCTCCAACCATCAGCCCAGGCACCTGCTGACCCCTGCAGGGTGTTTGGCCAGGAACAGAGTTGCAGAGGCCTCCAAGCCTCGCTGCAAACAAATAGCTCCTTAGCAGGACCAGCTGTCTCCACAGGACCAGAGGGACTGGGAGAAGGGGCCTGGCCACCACTTCCAGTCCGCGAGGGGCGAGAAGACGACGTTGGCTTTTCATGATCAACCGACTCAGGACAACTCCCTGTGGGTTGGGGTAAAACTGTGCTCCTCCCGTTTTGGGGGGGAACTAGATCACCAGGCCTATCCTGTGGCACCTTCAGGTGAACTTGACCCCACCACTTTCCGGTCAGCACCTGAGCGTGTTCATTGCTCGCTGTGCTTCCTGTCATCTCTCTCTCTGGAGCCCTGGCTGCGTGGTTTTATGCACTGGGTTGCAATGGAAAGGTCAGCTCGATGTGAGGTGTCTGAGTTCGAAAGCTCAGCTCGAAACCACCCGCTGCTCTTTAGGAGAAAGATGAGCCTTTCTACTCCTGTTAAGGTTTACATTCTCAGAAACCCATAGGGGCAGTTCTACTCTGTCCCGGAAGCTCACTAGGAGATGGAATTGACTCGATGACAGGGAGTTTTTTGAGACCTATCTACCTACCTATTTATCATCTACCTACCTGTCTGTCCATCCATCCATCCATCCATCCACCCATCCATCTACCTATTTATCATCTATCTATCCATCCAGCCAGCCAGCCACCCACCTACCTATCATCTACCTACCTGTCTATCTAACTGCTTGACTATCTGTCTATCTATCTATCTATCTATCTATCTATCTATCTACCTATCTAGTTTACCTAGATGGCGTACACATTCTATATCAGTCTGTGACAGTTTAGTATCAACCATGGGCCCCCTTTAGTATCAACCCCCTTGTAGTATCAACCATGGGCCCCCTTTAGGAAGACCCC